CCTACAATACAGACTCAACTCCCCTACAATACACACTCAACTCTCCCACAATACAGACTCAACTCTCCTACAATACACACTCAACTAACCCACGATACAGACTCAACTCTCCCACAATACAGACTCAACTCCCCTACAATACACACTCAACTCTCCTACAATACACACTCAACTCTCCCTACAATACACACTCAACTAACCCACGATACAGACTCAACTCTCCCACAATACACACTCAACTCCCCTACAATACAGACTCAACTCCCCTACAATACAGACTCAACTAACCCACAATACAGACTCAATTCTCCCACAATACAGACCTAACTAACCCACAATACAGACTCAACTCTCCCACAATACACACTCAACTCCCCTACAATACACACTCAACTCCCCTACAATACACACTCAACTAACCCACGAAACAGACGCAACTCTCCCACAATACACACTCAACTCCCCTACAATAGACTTCCTACAATACACACTCAACTCCCCTACAATACAGACTCAACTCTCCTACAATAGACTCAACTCTCCCACAATACAGACTCAACTCTCCCACAATACACACTCAACTCCCCTACAATACACACTCAACTCTCCTACAATACACACTCAACTTCCCTACAATACAGACTCAACTCCCCTACAATACACACTCAACTCCCCTATAATACACACTCAACTCTCCCACAATTCAGACTCAACTCCCCTACAATACACACTCAACTCTCCCACAATACACACTCAACTCTCCCACAATACACACTCAACTCCCCTACAATACAGACTCAACTCTCCCACAATACTCAGACTCAACTCCCCTACAATACACACTCAACTCTCCCACAATACACACTCAACTCTCCCACAATACACACTCAACTCCCCTACAATACAGACTCAACTCTCCCACAATACACACTCAACTCTCCCACAATACACACTCAACTCCCCTACAATACAGACTCAACTCTCCCACAATACACACTCAACTCTCCCACAATACACACTCAACTCTCCCACAATACAGACTCAACTCTCCCACAATACACACTCAACTCCCCTACAATACAGATTCAACTCTCCCACAATACACACTCAACTCTCCTACAATACACACTCAACTCTCCTACAATACAGACTCAACTCTCCAGTCTTTTTATTTTTCTTGTATGTCCTTCCAAATGGATCCTGTCTTTAAAAAAATAAATAAAATTTTAAAAATATAATAGAGATGGGGTTTCAACATTTTGCCCAAGCTGGTCTGGAATTCCTGGGCTTCGTCAATCCTCCCAGCTCGGCCTCCCAAAGTGTTGTGATTACAAGTGGGAATTACTCTGCACCTGCATGATCCTGCCTTTTTAATACCTCCAAGTTTTTGGTGTCTGTTTCCCAAACTTTGATCCACACCACATATGCAGAGCTAGTAGGAGAACTTGAGTAAGTCAAGAGGCATTTCTGAGAATCAGTTTCTTCTGCAGCCAAGGTGTCTTGTGACCCAGGATACATCTGGCAGGGAAGAGGTAAGTGGAGCCGTCATCAGAAGACAGATCACTGCAATTTAGTGGATGCCGTATCTGGGGACTTACGGCGGCACAAAGTCACCGATGACTCCAAGAAGCGAGACTTCCAAGAAAAAAGTGGCACTGGCAGAGCAGTGGGGGTGGAGAAGAGCCGGAAGGAAGGAACTGTCACTTATCAAGGACTCTTTTTCTCAGGGCCGTGCCAGCTGCTTTACACGTTACTTAGCCACTCTGGTGGTTACATTATGATGTCCATTACAATCTTCTTCTTCTTCTTCTTCTTTTTTTAAGACAGACTCTCGCTGTGTCGCCCAGGCTGGAGCGCAGTGGTGCCATCTCTGCTTGCTGCAACTTCTGCCTCCCGGGTTCGAATGATTCTCCTGCCTTAGCCTCCTGAGTAGCTGGGATTACAGGTATGCACCACCACGCCCAGCTAGTATTTGTATTTTTAGTAGAGACGGGGTTTCAGCATGTTGGTCAGGCTGGTCTCGAACTCCTGACCTCAGGTGATCATCCGCCGGCCTCGGCCTCCCAGTGTTCTGGGATTACAGGTGTGAGCCACCGCACCCAGCCTCATCACAAATTTAAAAGTGATGTAATGAAAGCTAACTAGCTCCCGCAAGGTCACACAAGTAGAGACCAAGTTAAAAAGAAAATTATTTTATTTTTTCCCTCCTGCATGACATGACTCTGGTTTGATTCTCAAACTCACGTCAAAGTTACTGGGCCTGCCAGGCATGGTGGCTCACACCTGTCATCCCAATGCTTTGGGAGGCCGAGGTGGGAGGATTGCTTGCAGCCAGGAGTTCAAGACCAGCCTGGGCAACACAGTGAGACCCCCATCTCTACCAGAACAAATTGTTTGAATTAGCAGGGTGTTGGGGGATGTTCCTGTAGTCCCAGCGACCCTTCCACTTGGGAGGCTGAGGCAGAAGGACTGCTAGAGTCCAGGAATTGGAGGTCGCAGTGAGCTATGATCGCACCACTGCACTCCAGCTTGGGGAGCAGAGTAAGACTCTCTCAAAAAAAAAAAAAAAAAAATTTTATGATCCTATAGTTCAATTTCCCTTTTTTTTTTTTTTTTTTTTAAGATACTCTCACTCTGTTGCCCAGGCTGAAGTGCAGCCTTGACCTCCCAGGTTCAGCCTCCTGCTTCAGCCTCCCACGTGGCTGGAACTACAGGCTGAAGCCACCATGCCCGGCTGGTCTTTTTTCCTTTTCTTTCTGTAGAGACAAGGTCTCACTATGCTGCCCAAGCTGGTTTCAAACCCCTGGGCTTGAGCAATCCTCCCACCTCAGCCTTCCAAGTAGCTGGAACTCCAGGCGCGCACCACTACACCGGGCTAATTTTTACATTTTTTGTAGAGTTGGATTCTCATTGTGTTGCTCAGGTTGGTCTTTAACTCCTGGGCTCAAGTGATCCTCCTGCCTCAGCCTCCCTAAGTGCTGGGAGTAAAGGCATGAGCCATGTCCCCCAGCCTTATCTTACAAAGTAGCTCATACTAGCAGGGAAAAAAGTGGCTGCAAACATCAGTTTGCCTGTTAGGTTTCCCCTCTCCAGAATCTTAGCCCCTTTGGCCCTCATTGTTTCAGTAGCTCACTAATGCTTTTAAGTAGATAATTTTATATTTTTATCTGGCTTCTCCCATTGTTCACAGGATTCTAAGTGTGCTGCCATCCAATCTGAAAAGCGTAAGTTTTGCTTTTCAAATTTTTTTTTTTTTTTTGAGACAGAGTCTCGCTCTGTAGCCCAGGCTGGAGTGAGTGGCCGGATCTCAGCTCACTGCAAGCTCCACCTCCCGGGTTCCCG